ACATGTACACATAGCTGGATGGGGTGCATGTACAATACATGTATCAAATAAACACACAACTAGCGTATTGGCATGTACATGCACAGTATACATGACATTAATTAAAGCTCTGTGGTCACAGGGTATGTGCTATTGATTGGAAGATTGAGAGAACTAATGGACCATTTATCCTTCACCCACTGCACAAATAGATTGATCATACACGCACTTCCCCCCCGCTGACATCACCATTTATTTTTTTAATTTTGAGCAAGCATTTTTTTTTTCAGAATAGAAAAAAGTGCTACGTCGAGGGAGATGAGCAGTGTGTATGAATGAGTGTGTAATTTTGTAAACGCCTTCAATCGTGGACCTATAACAACAGGGGACAATAGGGTCCACGGTTGCTGAAGAGTCTACGGTTGGGAAAAAGTGTACAAAACATATGGGAGGTCTTCCGAAAAAGTTAAAGTGTGAACAAAAGAGGAACAATAGGGAGTCCACGATTGAAGGCGTGTATGTCCCCACAACTATGGTACGGGAGGATTTGGACTGTGTGGCTGTGTGAGCACTAAGCAGACGAAGGGTGGTTCCTGGGTAAAATGTCAACTTGTTGGCAATCCTATGGACAAATGGAGAGTGGCTCCCAACAACGCTGTGCTCTAGAAAATAAATCAACTCCTTCAAAAGGCTTTTTCTTCTTGGGGGATAAGGCTATGAGCCCCATTATAACATAGGCCAAACAGATTAATGTATGGCAATTCTCAATAGTATTTTGGATAGATGGTACGCATTTCCTGGATAGTTATTTGTGAAATGAAGGAACTGCTCAGATGGAAAGTGGGAGAACAAAGCATTGCTTGGAGTGATTCTAAGACTACACTGTAGGTAAATGACTGGGAAATCTTGAACACACACAAAAAAACAAAGAAATTCCAAACTGTACGAGATTTTGTTCATAATTTTTCAATCTACAATAGCATAAATATACACGAGAATTAAAGAAACAAGAAGATTTGCTTATCAGAGGAAAAAAAGTTGTTAGCCTGTGATATTGTGCAAATCAGATGGGTGTTTTGGAGGATGGCATCAGGCTAAAACCATGATACAGCCATTTTCAAGCTAGTCATGTACAGCAGTACCAGTAAGTTAGTATTAGTTGCAGGGCTCGACCTTGGCACTGGCCCCACGGTCATTGTCTAGTAAAAACAGCCACAGGCTAGTAAAATGCACCACTTAACTAGCCCGGCGGACTCGTAAAAAGTAGACAGCGGTATGCGGTGCCTGCAGCACACACGCTGCGCCGTCGAGCTGACTGTACACTGTGCATGTAGCGTATGGTATATGTACATGCATGTATGTAAGTTACCTATACGCCATGCTTGCGCTTCTGTATGGATGTATATCGTACGCACCGCACATGTACGTGTGAACAATGAATGCACTGCATTATGCATATGCATGACCAACGTTCAATGTACGGGTCATCACAGTCGGCTCCCTGACCCAATGCCAGCATATGTTTGCGTTATGGAATCAGATTCATACTGCTGGACTCCGAATGAGAGTAGATATGAATAGGTAGATATGAATGCGCCGCTATGATTTGTTGGATATTGGTTGCAGTGTGGATTGCGCACGTATACAAGACTAGCGAGGCACGCGTTTGCACTAAATTTATTCATAATCCTTTTAACTAGCCTGTGGGCTAGTTAAAAAAAAAACTTCGGCACGAGGCTTGAGTTGCACATATACACGTATCCACCTTGAGCAGAAGCACCCCTTTATCAATTGAAAAGAGCCATGTTGGTGAGAAGGGCTCATTTTTCGGTAGCAATGCGACCGTAACGTGTGCATTTCGTATTTGTTAGTGAACCAGGTTAAGTACAGTTCCCACCAAAGGAGCCTGCATTGCTCAGAGCCGTGTATAGAGAGAATTGCCACATGAGTGTCACCATTGATGGAAACAAACTGGCTGGTATAGGTGCCAGTGCACATGGACAGTTGGCACACAATACACGTAGCTGCATGCTCTGCTGTACTCATAACGAGAAGCCATTCTGTTTCCAAAATGTAAAGCCCGACACTCCTCTTCTCTCTGAACATAGCTCTAGCATTGCTAGGAAAATTGGGTCTTCTCTTGGTCCAGTTCAGGGCTTGTACGGTCATTTTCAACGAGCTCCAAAGGTGTGCCACGCAGCAACAGACAGATCCACTGGACTGACACAAAGCTAATCAGACAGATAAACCTCTGCGAAGGCCAACAGATGGACAAACAGGACCACCTCATACATTGTACATGCACATTCACACTTTCTGCACAAGCTCTTATCCCTGGCAGGTGAAACCCCCCCCAAAAGGATTCTCGACTGTAAGAGAGCAGTTAATGCCATTCCTACAAACTTCAAGAACTGCAAGAACGCATTGCTCAACTGTGCACACGTGCACCTGGCCTACATGTGCTGAGAACAAAAATCTGCTCAGTCAAAACTCCAGGACTGGACAATTAAGAACCTGTTGTAGCCAACAAGCATTTTGTGTGATTATTGGCTGATCAGCCCTGCACAAACACCAGCCCCAACTGGGTGTTAAACCGCACAATATGTGTACGGGGCTCCATTTACCATCATCCATATTATTTTTGCAGACAACAAATTGGTCCCACACATATGTATGTGTGGTATTCAAGTAGGTATCCATCACTCATGTGAGTCCTGCCCTGTTGCTGTTTTGGGGAGGAAGGGTTGGAGATCAGGATGTCAACTTGTCACCAATAACTCCTTTAAAGGGAGACTTGAAGCAGTTACTCCATTGATTTCTGCCCCTCCAATTCTCCCCCCCTCCCCCCCCCCATGCAGACTGGAATATGCCATCATGATGAACCACCCACCAGTACATCCGGTACCCGAACACATACACACTGAGTATTCAATGATGCAAGGGGGGGGGTCTTGCCCCATCGCTTCACCGTTTGAGCGTGTTCCATCTGTGCGCCGTAAAATAATTTTTCAATTTCGGTGAGGTTGACATGACAAAATGCAGCATGAGAAAAAGAAAAAAGCAAACAGGATGTCTGTTGTGGCCCCGATGGGTAAATGTTGACATAAAGGCTGGCATGGTTTTTCAAACACAGCAAGACTGTTAGCAGTGACAGAAACCGAAACAGAGAGTGCACAGGGGCAACTCCACAGGTTCGTGCCAGTTGCACTTAGAAATATTCTGAAAAAAAAACAAACAAACTTGAAAGAAGTAAATGTGTTCCAAGGTTTAGAGAAAGAAAAATACCTGTCTTGCAACAATTCTTCAATCAACACAGATAACGGCTTTTGTTCGACTGGATTGATCGCTCAACGATTATTTTATAACACTGAATAGCATTTGCTCCACTCTTCAAAAGTTAAATATGAAAGTGAAACGGGGTAAACTTGAGTCAAGCTTGATAAAAATTCAAATTTGGATTTGCATAATACGCCGGTGAATGCAAATTACAGCATTCAGCTACTGTAACTCATTAAATTGAAAGACACAGGGATTCACTGATGTCAGGTTACTGAACAAAGGTTGGTTTGTGTCATTGAGAACAAAAGACTGCTATAAAACAAAGGTTCAGAGTCTTGCTTCTTTTGCATTAAGGTCTTTTGGGATTGTTCACTACATGTACAATCATTCACACGGGGGTACCGGCTGAAATTCCTGGGTGAAAGTCTATGCTTTTGCTAAACTTGATGCTTTTGCTGAATATTACCAACTTGTTTTGGAATCCCATGGTAAGATCAATGCTTGTAAGGTCCAAAATGGGTCAACAGTTATTACGGACACTTGATTGGTGAGGATCGATAAACCAGAGGTGGAGAACAGCAATCTATGATGGAGCAATCTATGATGCATTTGGCCCAGAGACAAAAGTTTCTGACTATGGTACCACTGGGTCATTTCAAGCCGATGAAATCAGCCCATCATGGGCGAAGAGTCAAAGAATGAATCTCATATGCAAAGAAAGGAACGCAATATGTGTACATGTACATCCGCCCTGAGTTGAAGTGCGCCCTCACTGACAAGGAAGAGACAGGCCGGTGGGAAGTTTTTCAACTCGGTTCATCCACACACTCGGCAGACATGCGAAGACTATGCATTCCAACTCAAAGCACCGTGCACCAAACGTGCATAAATTTGCTTACCTACGTGATGAGTTTTCACCAAAATGACCATCGTTTTCTTGTTCCAGTTAGGAGCCAATAGACCTACTGTGTAATTTTTTATAAAAAGTCCCAGTGGTGTAACTAGGATTTTACTAGTGGGGGGCATCAGTATCTTATGGGGGGGCACCAGCTTTCAGTGGTGTTGCTTTTGGGGGCAAGTTTTCATCGGCATTGTTCAATATCCATTCATCCGTTGTTTTTAGTGGGGGGAACCTGGGGGGGCACTGGAAATTTGTGGGAGGGGGCACGTGTCCCCAAGGCTTCCCAGTGACTACACCACTGACATAAACGTAATAAAAAAAGGCCACATACACGCTGAACTTTCTAATATTGAATATCAAAGGCCTTACAAGAAGGGGATCATGTTTCCTACTGTTTCTGTAGAATGTCACTGACCCAGGAACAGGTAAAAAAATTACATAATCCTACAATAAACAATAGCTTGAGAATAGAAACCGAACACCACAAAGATCAAAACTGAATCAGTGCTCACATAAAGATAAGCATTGTTGTACACCAGACCCTACCAGGAAATTTAGCCCTGTGACCTGTACCATATACACTGATGGTTCTGAAAGTAAAAATCTATGCATGAAACTTTCTCGGGACGCATTATATTTTATCATTTGATTCAAAACAAAATTGTAACATGATAGATCTCTGCAAGGGATACAATTGTGAAATGAAAGACAATGGAATAAACGCACATGTAGAGAAACATTCCAATCTGGCCGAGAGTGAAACCTGGGGGACAGGAACAAAGCAAGTGAGGATGAATCACGACAACATCGTGTTACACAGGGTACATATTAATGTACTTACCCAATCCGCAAGCGCAGTGAAGACAAATACAGGTTTTGCGTAGAGGCTACTGAGATTTAGGACGACACGGGCCGGCTGGCTCAAACAGCAAGTTTCAGAAAAACTGAAGTGTGAAGCATTTCCTGGAAAAGATAAAAGCCAATGCCACATATAAGAGCAGTTGTGGAGGCCATCACTTCAGAGAGGGAGATTATGCAGGAAACGTGAAAGATAGGGCAACAGCAGTTCACAACTAACCACCATGTTGAATACAATGCATAAAACCACAGGCCGTCTGTCAACACTGCCTAGGAGTTGCAATTAATCACTGACCACAAGAATGAACAACTGAGGAGCAGCATACCAAATCAGTCATCAGTTCACCATACTACCCCCCCTTGGATAGAGAATAATAAACCACATTAATCAGATTAAATACCTCTTTAAATTGACATGACTGTAACTGATACCACTCACACTCATTAGGGGGCATAATTGGCAGTTGGTGTACAGCCTAATGAACAGATGAAGTCACATTCCATTTACACTCTGATAATGGGGGAAAAAAACACAACATACCATACATGTAACAAAAAATATGTGTACTTCTGTAAACATATATTCCACCTTCAGGTAAACATTGACTCTTGGTCTAGAGGCCAACAAGCTTGCTCTACTATCAAGGTGTTTTCTTCCATCCCCAAAGAGTCAATTAATGGTATGACTGTATGTAATGTTATGCAAAACCGACCCCAAACCGAACCCGACTCAAAACCGACTTCAGACCGGGTCGGTTTTTTCCAACATTTCAGTTGGATCAGGTTGGTTTCGGTTTTGTGTGGGTGGTTTGCGGGTCGGTTAAGCTTTATATTAAAAAAAAAACGAAACTAACCAAAAATAATCGAAAAACTGAACCGGGAAATTCAAGTGACGATTTTACTTTTAAGAGCTTCAGATCACAAAGCCAAATTTATATGTTTGTAGATGCAGCACATCAAAATAAAAAAGCAAACATGAACTGTACTGCATGTACTATTCTGACTACACTGGAAACGTGGTCGCGCACAGCCGCACGCACAATTCAAACCAGTTCAGCCAACTACGCATTTTCACAAGACTGGACGATTCTTTCAGAAAAAACAAGGCAGGGAATGTAGTAACCAAATGTAGTAACCGATTCTGCATACTGTGTACATATTTTGTTTCGTGCAATTGAAGAGACGATTACAAATCTTGTTCAAACAAAAGTTTGAATGCACAAACATCTGAAAATACTTAGCTGTTCAAACTTTTTGAAAAGGTTATTTCAGAAAACAGCCATCTCTTTATATTTCCTGGTACCCCGGATGCTTGCATGCATACGATGAAAAATCGTGAAATGTGCAAATAGGCAGTTGCAATACCAAACAATGTGCATGGTTTGCAGACTTGCAGGACCTTTATAGCACAGGTCACCTCGTCAGGACACAGGACAATACAACTGCCGGTACATCTGACAAGTATATTCATACATATATTTATATAATACTGGCATAAGTTCAGGCACAAAATGGATACAATTTGTATAGAAGAAAGGATGATTACTGACTAGCCCTAACTAGATGTTCGGATTTTTAGGATTCGGTTATATTTTTGTCAGTTCGGGTCAGTTTTTCCCTGATTTCTTGTCGGGTTGGGACGGGTCAGTTTAGAGAGTTCAGATCGGTTTCAGTTTATGGTTTTAATGTTTGGATCGGTTTGGCCTGGTCAAACCAATCCGATGCACATCATTAACTGAATGTGAAACTGTGATTTCATATCTGCCAAAAAGATGTGCGCGCTGATAAAATATACATGTTCATCAAGCTCAGGTCAAAATGCCAATCAACGTGCACAGCAATGACTGACAAAGCTCCCTCATCTGGCCTTAGTTCGATAGTTTTGTCTTTCATTCTTCCTAAACAAACCCATCCTGCAAAACAAGGGGTTGCTCCTTTAATGGCACAATAAGAAAAAAAGGGATTCAATCTGTGCTGTGTGCCCAGTGTGTTTTGTATTGAGCAAGATAAATGGTACATGAACTGCCTTAATTGCTCAGTGATGGCCAACCAGGAATTTGGTTCTGATTGATTGATTGATACAGCAAGCATGAGTAACCGCCACCACGCGCGCAGCCACTTTTGAGTTCAACCCTGGGCTTGCTGTTGAAATCTGAAGTATCTGTAAGAGACACATATGGTCTGCAGGCCCAGGCTCTCTTGTAACAAAAGACTCCCAGATCACGATTGCAAACATCCGTTCAATCAAGTGCACGGTGACAAAAGCTGGTTTGATGAACTCTTCCTCAGTGATGGGAGGGTGAGGAATCACCCAACATGTCTCCTCATTGTGACCAGTCTGTTTCGAGAGATGCATATGTGCCCAAGGACTCTTTTTTTTTTAAATTGTAGATGATTGCGAAAATGACCACCATGCGGGCTATCAAAATGCAACGGAGGTATGCAGTTACAATGACTAAAGGACCCAACTCAATCAGAAAATCGGCCAGGTCTGCAAGAGGGGATCGTTCTCCCGAGCTCAAGATGTTCAATGCATCTGGGTCATCTCCTCCATCCTCCGGCTCCCGCGGCCAACTATAATGGCTCCGATGACACATCAGTCCCACGCACATACATGTACCTCACAGTCGACGACGACGCCTTTGAAACTTCAATTTCATTCCCTTCCCCCAGTGTTAACATTCGATCCTAGTCGTGGTTCCATCTGCCGCGCCTCACAAACTGGAGTTCAATCTGCTTTCTCTGAGTGCACCTTACGGAGCATGAACAGACCACAGGGCAAGATCCAAGCCTTCCAATACACATACCCTGTGTGTGCTTGTGCTGCGGCAATCTCCTGGACTGTAATAAACTGCGTGCTCCAAATACCCTCGTTTAATTCCCAGCGCTGGCCAGTGCAAGTGCTGGGACATACAACTCACAGCAGTCTTCCCGAAGGCTTTAGTAAAACTGTCAGGGTAATTGGAAATCACAGGTTGGCACTGAATGGATTGACAACGGATTTGCTGTGAACACCAAAACCACATGCATGAATAGCCTTGTTTGGTCAATTTAACCATCCCGACTGGTATCCCCCTCTCAGCTCTTTCAAAACTGTTCTCCAAAATTTTATACCAGGTGTTTCTTTATACCATAATACCACAGTAAATGGGACCAAAGAATTGCCCAAAAATTGCAAGCTTGCTCAAGTGGGATTCAAACCCACATCCCAGATGCAATGCTAAAATGAAAATCATTGTTCTCAGAATGACGCTTCATGAATGCCTTTCTCACTACATGTAAGTTACTTAAGCAACTTACTTTCTAATACAGGTACCTGAAAACGTGAGTGTATTGGGCATAATGACTGCTCGGATGACTGACTTTCACATGTCCCAACTGGATTACAAGTTGCCTGCTCCTGGTCCCCCTTCAAACAACTTCCACTGGGCTTCATAATGTCTTCATATGGTAACTGTCAACGTTTCATCCACGTTTAATATCTTCAAGAGCAATCTTGCTCTTGAAGACATTAAACGTGGATGAAATGTCAGCTTACACACACATTTCAAAGCTTTATTTTTACTTGAGCTGTCAATGCACTGTTGTAAGTACATGTACATGCTTTCAAAGCCACAAGTCACGTCAATTTCTGAGGCAATCTAACTTGATCTGAAAGGACAGAGTGTGGGGGGGAAATGACGAATGGTTGTTGTTCACATCAGGAATAACTACACATCACAGGTTCCTTGACTTCACGTTTCAATTTTTCTTTGCCTTGCTGGGACAGGAAAAGACAGAATGTGGGGCCCTGCAAGCCAGCTGTAGAGAAATTACAAACAGGTGTGTGGATGACTCCAAAGTGAGATATTAATCTGCATGTGTGTTTTTAAAGTATCCCTACTGTATGGGTGTTTCTTTATTTGTTCTATCCTTGTATTTCACTTCACCAAAAAGATAAGCAAACCCCCACGGGTGTGTTTCCAATTACATGTACTTTACCCAACTGGACACATGTCTTTTTTATTTTAACACATTAATCATTAAAAGTCATGAAGCTGACCCAGCACTTGATCTTTGTGATTCTTTTACAGTTTTTAAATTCATTTATAGAAAGATGGCTTGAAATAACTGACTTGTTCTTGTGTGTTGTGTACAAACACTTTCACAATCTTCTCAATGTCACCGATGCTAATCCATTTAGCTTACATGTACCTACCAGACGGACATGGCTTGCTAACGAGCACATCTTACATGTCCCATGGAGTCGTGTTGAGGTCATAAAGCGTGGCTTTGTCTCCAGAATCTCCTCGACCTACAACCGACTCCACGGGAGGTGTGATGTGTTCGGTTTTGCAAGCCTGGGAAGTTTTCGTAAGCAGCTCTACCACGCAGTCTCATCTACTGTAATGAATCCAATTTTATGTGAAATATATTATGAATGTGCATCTTTTGCGCTTTCTATGCAATTTAATTGTATTATTTAATTGTAATGTCTTTTTTTATTTTGGAATTTTTGGTGTTGATTATTTATTTGTTAATTAAATGTCTTATATTAATTAATTTTCATATACCATCCTGTAATTTGCGATTTGGTCGCTGTTGGATGTGGTTGAAATAAATAAATAAACCATATGTTTTCAACATGGGGCATTCTGCCATTCCTCAACCACTCAATCTGTGTACATTTCATAAGAATCTTCCACAAGAGACAAAGTGGCTCCAAATTAGGATTTTTTTTCAAATTCCTGGTTCTTTGTTTTTAAAATCAACTGGTCTATGTGAGGCCTAGAACCTCGTGTAACCATTACTTTAAAACCAAATCTACTGAAATCAGACAAATCAGGATGATCTCCACAGGGCAAAGTTAATCTAAACCACATGTCATTTTTAAGAGGAGACAAACTTGTCTTCCACAGGTCTAGCATTTGCAATAAAGGTCAAAACCACCTTGTTTTATTTTTTATTGTTTGCGAATGCTTTATTTATGTATGCATAATTTGTAATTTTTAGTAATTTAAGTATTTAATTGTAATTAGTCTTTTTAATACTTTTGTTAATTGATACCATTCCTGTAAGTGGCAGTTCTTCTGCTGTTGGATGTGGTGAATAAATAAATAAATAAA